TGTGCAACTGTGACATACAACTGTCTACTATGGCTTTGGGGGAAAATAAATAAAATCTTTAAAAAAAAAAAAAAAGAGTAAAGGTGTAGCATTGTGGGAGTTACTGAGCATGAAGAGTGAAAAGTAAGAGGATTAAAATACGTGACATAGGTCCCTGGAATGCTGGATATACTCAAGACACGTTGATAAAATTTCTTAATATGCAAATTGTCCGTGTGTAGGGGACTAGTTAAAAACCTTATTGAACTTCCCACAATGATATACTATGGAGCATAAGCAAGTGTGTGAGGAAGGACTGTATTTACTGGATTTAGGAGAATATCTGCGGGATATATTAAGTGAAAAAAGCAAGCGTCTGAACTGAGTAAAAAGTGTGCTACCTTTTGTGCACACATGGTGGGAAATTAAAAACACATTTTTATTTTTGCATAAAGAAACAGTGAAAAGATACACTGAAAAAAAACTAAAAGTGGTTAACTGTGAAGGACAGGGCAAGGGAAACATAAGAGGGGACAGATGTGGGAGTAGGCTTTAATTGTCTAGTTTAAAAAACTTTTTAAAAACCCTACCACCAGGGGCTGGCCTGGTGGCACAGCAGTTAAGTGCGCATGCCCCACTTCAGCGGCCTGAGGGTTCACAGGGTCGGATCCCAGCGCGCACCGACTCACTGCGTGGCAAGCCACGCTGTGGCGGCGTCCCATATAAAGTGGAGGAAGATGGGCACGGATGTTAGCCCAGGGCCAGTCTTCCTCAGCGAAAAGAGGAGATTGGCATCGATGTTAGCTCAGGGCTGATCTTTCTCACAAAAAAATAAAATAAAAAATGAAAACCATATGAAATTATTACTATTTTAAAAATTTATATTTCTCTATATATCTGATACAGAACAACATAAAACTGTCCAAAGGCAAAATCAGGACGTATTTTTTAAGGTTGTATTCCTATTTTATACAGATGTAATTTGTTCTGAGCATACATTAGTACTGTAAAAATTGCATTTAGATCCCACTTTTAAAATCTTGATCTAATTCCTAGCCCTCCTCTGTCACCTTCCTTTCCTCTCAAACCATTCTTCCTTCCTAACCTTCCTGACCTCAGACTACAAAAGAAAGAGAACTACTGGATTATTACTCTTGGAATCCTTGAAAATCATAATAAGGGACAGAATCTGGGTAGATAGTACTTAACTAGATGTTACAACTCTGAGGCTTGAGAACCACTATATTAAACCAAAATGTGTAATAAAATGTGGTTAGCAGACCAGGCAAGCTCCCACTCCCGCCCTGGCCCCGCCAGCTTTACCCTCTGTGTGGCTTCCCTCTTCTCCTGCACTCCTAGCCCACAGCCCTGGAAGGCAGCGTGCAAAGGCGCTGCCGCCTGACGGACCAAAAGACTAGGAAGAAACGAAAAAAATCATGGAGGCTCATTTCATATTTTAAATGTTTCAAAAATTTTCATTAACATCAGGGCTATCTTTTTGCCTAGGCTGTTCTTTCAAGTAGAAATGGAGAGATGGGTACAAAGTAAGGACTGTGAGGCAGGAGCAGCACTGAGACCAGAACCTGGATGTTTAGTTACCCAGCTCAGCCATGCTGTTTTTCTTTCCTCTCGTCGCAGTCCCTGGAAAACCATCTAAAATTTCTTCATGAGCCTTTACAAACCATTCTGCGTAACTGCATGGCTAAAAAAGTCAACTGAAATGCATCGTTCCATTTTAAAAGGCCATTAATAAAAATGATAATATTGATATTTGCCACTATCCTATACCCAGTGCTTATCTTCGTCAGATCCCGGGCATTTTACCTGGAATACCTCAACGAGTTTCTAAACTCCAGAAATATTACTGTTCTCAGACATTCAGAAGAGAGTCATGCCATGGCATAAGGGTGTTTACTAACATGATGCAGGTGTTGAAGTCACTCTGAGCCCCTGTGACCTTCTGGAATACAGAATCTGTGCTTTCATTTTAATGCATTTTTTGCGTGTGTGAGAGGAAGATCAACCCTGAGCTAACATCTGTCGCCAATCCTCCTCTTTTTTTGCTGAGGAAGACTGGCCCTGGGCTAACATCCGTGCCCATCTTCCTCCACTTTATATGGGACGCCGCCACAGCATGGCTTGCCAAGCAGTGCGTTGGTGCGCGCCCAGGATCCAAACCGGCGAACCCCGGGCCGCGCAGCAGAGCGCGCACACTTAACCGCTTGCGCCACCGGGCCGGCCCCCTCATTTTAATGCAGTGTGCATCCTTGGTCAGTAGGTGGTGCCATGAAACCATCTGTGGTTTAATTAGGGCTTGCCTGAAGTTCCGACAGCACCAACAGCAAACCCTTCATTTATTGTGGCATCTCTAGGTTTTTGCGGAGGGAAGAGTCTGTGTTGGTTAATAAAGAAGACTGTGATACTTGTAAAGAATATACATTGACTGATAACTAAGAAACCAAAGCAGGAGAGAAGGCAAAGGAATCCAATGTGCAGTTGGTCAAGAAACGTGTCTGAGGGGTGGGACAGAATGTGGCCAGTCCTTGGCAAGCCCCTAGCTAGGGTCCACACGGGGAAGTTTAAAAGAGGACTATGGACTGGAGAGAAGCAGCTATTAGACGTATGTCATGGGTACACAGGCAGGAGCCATTCTATCTAGAGGGGGAGCTAGAGGCTGAGGAGACGGGCAGCTTGCAACATCTCAAGGTTTTCTCCAGGAACAACATGTCTCCAGTGGTTGGGGAAAGCAGCCTTGAGGTCCTGCGCTTCCTCAGCACAAGATCATTTCTCCCACACCATGCACTCCTGCCATTCCAGAATCTCCCCTCTCTAGTTCCACTTCTCCCAGCGGTACCTTCAGCATGAAGCTGTCCAGGAGGTAATCAGAGAGCTCAATTCACACTGAGGAGAATTCCAGTTTGTTGCCAGCATGATTGAAGAGAATCATGTAATCCAAAAATTGAAGATCATGTAGTTCTAAACCTTCTCAATCTATAGATGAGGAAAGAGGCCCATGGCAAATCACTGGCAGAAAAAGGGCCAAAATCCAGGGATTTTGCCTCAAACCGCTGCTTTATTTCTGCACCTTTAATGCTGTCTAAAGGAAATGAATAGTTCATTTCTTTTATGACCTATTAAACTTCTGATCAAAAAGAGCCTTTTTCAGCCTTGTTTTAGATTTTTAAATAACATTTGCTGATTATCTTTCATGTCAATGACCATTGATATTATTCCTGGTCACTGAAAAGTGTATAAAACTGTCATAGGGGCCGGCCCCGTGGCATAGCGGTTAAGTGTGTGCACTCTGCTGCTGGCGGCCCAGGTTCGGATCCTGGGCGCGCACGGAGGCACCGCTTATCAGGTCATGCTGTGGCAGCGTCCCATATAAAGTGGAGAAGACAGGCACAGATGTTAGCCCAGGGCCAGTCTTCCTCAGCAAAAAAGAGGAGCGTTGGCATGGATGTTAGCTCAGGGCTGATCTTCCTCACAAAAAAAAAAAGTGTCATAAATAATGGTTGGCCAACTATGTACCTTACCCAAAAAGAATCATGTAAAAAAGAAAAATCAAGCTGTAAGAATTCTGATTCCAGCTCTCATCCTGGTTTTTAGGCACTTCCTGCTTCTTTCCATGTGACTCATTATCACTAAGACACTGATAAGAGCAGGAAAGCCTGGTAAAGACTTGTGAACACATGCTTTTATTCAACTTGTCTATATAAGGTAGCTTTAAAATGTGAACCCTTAGAGCCAAGTGATAGGGTCCATTTTACTATTAGATATTTAATTTGTTTTGCAGCTGAATCTTAAGGAATACCAACAAAGATGATCCAGGAGGCTGACCAGTGCAGGCATCCAGAACAATATGAATCCTACCCTTCCATGCCCTGCTCTGCACTCAGCTCTGTCATCTGTTCAGAAAATTCTTGGTGTCATGTATGATGAGTCTAACAGTCTCCAGAACACAGACTTCTCAGTATGCAGACTCCTGCTCTACCCTGGGAAGAAAGCTTATGGTGACACTTATTTAGTTTACTGCTGCCAACTGATGGAAATTATTAGTACAAAACATGACAGTAGGAAGTAGGAAGGTTAAGTGACAGTATGAACTCTGTGAGGGATGGGACTTTGCAAAGAAAAATGGCGACACATTTTTATATAAATTATCTTTTATTTCTATGGCATACAAAAGGTATAAATATGACTTATGTAAAACCAGTCACCTGCACACTCAAGCAGAAAGTATGGCAAGCTGGGGTGTATACGTCTCTGAGGCACTTGATGGGAAGCACGCCTGAGATGGAAACCAGTCGTGTCAAAACAAAAGCAGGGAGGACTTACCAGTGGGGGATGAGCAAAGGGTCTTTTCATCTCCCAGATCTCTTTCCTTCACACTGCTGTTTGATGTGGAGCAAGGAACAACAGGAAGCAGGGACAAAAGGAAGTCGACAGAAGGGAAATATAATGAACAACAGCCAATGACTCCTTGCCCCATGCTGGCAAACAGCTCAGCGCACAAAGGTGTGGGAGTTGAATAATGCTGAAAGTAGAACTCACAAAGTTCTTGGATCTCAAGATTCAGATACACTCTGAGACTGGTGAACTGGTAGCAGAGTCATGATTTGTTGGGAGGTACTAATAATCTGAAAGATTTACCAAAAATCTTATGATCTGTGAGGAAAAGTGACAGGAGCATTATCTGTACCAAGGAACCAGGCTTTAGGGAGCTGGTAATATTTATGTCAAGAAGAAAGGCCCATGGGGGCCCGCCCAGTGGTGTAGCAGTTAAGTTCACACGCTCCTCTTCAGTGGCCCAGGGTTCGCAGGTTCAGATCCCGGACACGGACGGAAGCAACGCTTGTCAAGCCATGCTGTGGCAGTGTCCCATATAAAGTAGAGGGAGATGGGCACGAATGTTAGCCCAGGGCCAATCTTCCTCAGCAAAAAGAGGAAGACTGGCAACGGATGTTAGCTCAGGGCTAATCTTCCTCACAAAAAAAAAAGAAGAAAAAGAAGAAGAAAGGCCCAAAGCTCTGTCCAACAAGGTCTGCAGAGCTCAAGGGCCAACTAGCTGGTCCTCACCAAAGAGGTCTCCTGACACCTCTCTTGATAATGACAACGGTAAGTTTCAATATATAATGCTCTCTTACATCTTACATGGTCCACAGGTGTGAGTGTCCCTCTATATTAATGGTTCCATAGTAATATAGCTGTGGAGGCACTCCTGGGTTGAAAGTGAAGGCAACTGTCAAATTACTCTCAATCTTAACTAGACTAAGTCACCTCTAGAGTTTATGCTTTCAGCCTAAACTGAAATTAAAACAATGATATAAAATTCTCACATCACTGATCACAAATTTGGCCATAACCACTCTGACGGAGATTCATGCCAGCCAACCTGCTCCCAGGGAAGAAAGGGACTGTGACATCACTACCTTCCAAGCCCCATGGGAAAAACAAGCTGGCTCTAAGAAACAAATAACACACTCCCTCCGACACAGACAACACAATGCTAGATCTGTTTCCTAGTGAGCATAAGTTCTTCTCTTGTGGGGGGGTACAGTGCCAGACACTGCCTTCTCCCATGGGTACGTTGGGTAGGATAGCAGAATTAAATCACCTGTGTGGACTCAAAATGACCACTGACTTTGGGTTTCCGGGTTCTGATGGTAAATGATACTCTAGAAACCATCATCACCAAAACAAAGTAAAGGCCGTGGAACAGTGGGTGTAGCCAAGTACCTCTACGGATCCAGTCTGTAGGACTGCAGCTTCCTAGGGATATCCATTCTCCACTCATACGATCTCACAACCAAAGGCCCACTATGGAAGATGCCCAAGCCCATAATTATAGAGACATACCTGAAACAGAGGTTGGCAAACTACAGCCCACAGGCCAAATTTGGCCTGCTGTGTTTTTGTAAATAAAGTTTCACTGGAACACAGCCACACTCGTTCGTTTATGAAATGGCTATGGCTGCTTTTGCACTACAATGGTAAAGCTGAGTAGCTGTGAAAGAGACTATCCGACAGTTTACAGAAAAAGTTTGCAGACCTGGAGACTAAAGGCAATTTAGGGAACTGTCCCTCTCTGAAAAGGTCTTCAAAAAAAAACACCCAAGTATTTAATCATTAGGACTAGATTCTAGCTGCAAGTTTCCAAGCACAGGAAATCTGACTCTTGAGGCATAGAATCTGCTGGGCAATAACCTCAGGAGTCACCAGTGTGCTCTGAACAAGAACCTCTCTGCTTTGAACAATCTCCCACCCACGTGAAGCTGTAATCCCTGACCAGGTCTGTGAAACCTACAGAAGTGTGTGTGTGTGTGTACATGTATATGTATACATACACACGTGTATACACGCATACACATCCATCCATCCATCCAGGGATTATTCCAAAAGGGGCAGACTGTTGCTCTTCATGTCCTGGGGCAAGAGCAAGGGAGGCAATTATCTGCTTCTGGGAGCTCTGGAGTGAGAAAGCCCAGTGCCTGCGTCCCTCTCATTCACACGCCAGCTTGCTGTCAAAGCTAGAAAGCCCGATGGCAAAGGCCTGCAGTGCACACAGTGGGTAGTTGTAGTCCAATGTGAACACATCATCTGCCACACGTCCAAACTGCATGACGATATAGTCAGCTGGAAACAAGAAATTAGGCTGTTAGACGACAGTGTGGTTGTACCAGGGAAAAGCCTACAGAAGATACAGAAAAAAAAATCCTCCAAATAGGTCTCTCTAAAATGGGAAACTTTAGAAGGACAGAAAGAGACACTAACAAGAGTATCTGCTAACCAAGAACAAAGTTTTATTATGATTCCTCTCAACTGCAGAGAACGGGACACTACCCCTGGCTGGCATGAAGGGGCAAGAGGAGAGAAAGGGCACAAGTGGTCTGCTGGGAAAAGTACACGCTCCATGGACAAGAGCTGCCAAGGAACCTTTCCTGAGTGAGGGTCATTTGCTTCTGTTTCCCAAACAGCCTCACCCAACACTTCTCTGAAATCTCGCACACTCTTCCGCCTTCCTCAACACAGAAGTTTTACTGTAAAACAGTAGTTTTGTCTTTCCAAAGAAATCATTTCTTTCTTAAATAATTCTCTCCTAAATAAAACTTCCTATCACTGATAGGAAATGCTCATTTCCCCATCATGTAAGAACATCTTTCCTCCTATCCCCAACCGGCCCTTCCCGTGGGCTTACGGTCATTTTTGTGGACTATCTGAAAGTTCTTCACAGACGCCTGAGTGACCCGGCCATGGAAGTTCAGGACGTAGGACTGAGTGTCGTCATTCCAGACGGGGGCCTTGTTGTACAGTTCAATCAAGTTCTCCATGGTTTTGTTTTGCCACTTTGAAAGCAAGCTCTCATGGTCCTGTTGGAAAGGAAAATCACTACTTTGTACTGAAAACCATAAGACATCACTCATTCTCAACTCTGTGAGGTAGAAGGTAGAGTCGGGGAATATTTTCTCCATTTCAGGAAGGGTAAAACAGAAACAAAGAAAGCCAAAAATTAAGCTGGGTTTGTTTGACTCTCATAGACTATCTACCATTTCTCTTTGCAGACTACGTGGTTTCATATCAACCACTTTAGCAACTGCTCTGCAAGTGCACTTACCCTGAGGTTCTGGAGTGACGGCTCTCCTAAAGAAGAGTATGAGCCATACTCTGGTTTGAGGTTCTGGAAGAATCATCAATTTTTGGATTGATCTCTTCTGTATTGTATTCTTGTCTTCTAGAGCCCTTTGCTGATTAAAAGTGTTCTTACTTACATTTCGTGGCCGAAATGGGATCCGTTCATGATTCATATTCATCCCTGGAATGATCACAGACATTTTCCTAGGACCTTTAAATCCAAGCACATTTGTTTCCTGGAAAATAGGAAAATAAGACAGACTTGGAAAAAGAAACCACAATCTTTTTCTTTTTTTTAATGCCAAGAATCTTTTATTTGATTAAATTTCAGGAGACTTGCCACCACTCATTGATACGAAGGCTGCAGGGGTTTTTTTGAAGAAACCACATTTTTTTTTTTTTTTTTGGTGAGGAAGATCAGCCCTGTGCTAACATCTGCCAATTCTCTTCTTTTCTTGCTGAGGAAGACTGGCCCTGGGCTAACATCCGTGCCCATCTTCCTCCACTTTATATGGGACGCCACCACAGCATGGCTTGCCAAGCGGTGTGTCGGTGCGTGCCCGGGATCCAAACCAGCAAACCCCGGGCCACAGCAGCGAAGCGTGTGCACGTAACCGCTTGCGCCACTGGGCGGGCCCCAGAAACCACATTCTTGACACAAGACTTTCTTGGGCATGTCAAGAGCACTGAAAATTACTTTTGTACTTTACTGTAGTTAAAGACAGAGAATCAAGAACAGGAAGGTAACACAGTACCTCTTTTTAAATCTAATTTGAACACTTGAAATTAAAATAGATTCTATTGGCTTGAAACTTTACTCTTACTCTTTAGTCTTCAGGGAAATTTCAGACAGCTGTAAGCAAACTGTCCAATTTTGTCATCATCAATAAATATTTATTTCACAATGAAGGAATGGCACTATATGATATACAGTGAGAATTATAGTTTAAATTAAATAGGGCCTGTACTGGGAGGTAAAAGACTCAAATGCCTGTCAAGCCAGACAGATTATATATGAATAAAATAAGCACATTAAATAGGTTCCTTTATATGTTTGTATGTGTGTGTTTTCATATACATATACAGACACACAAGCACACATATATGAAAGTCATGCATAATTAAAATATTTAATTGGTTCTGAGGCTGAGAAAAAATACTATACATCATAAAGTGTTAAGTCAAATGGTTCTCAGTCACTTAGATAAAATCTCATGGGAATCAAATGATGAGATTAATTCCAACTTAGGAAAAGTTGAGACTTTGGGATCAAAGCAACAACTGAGTTGGGTTAATTCCTTCTTGCTTCCTTTTACTCAGCAACTCTTTGAATGCCTACTATGCACCAGGCCTCATGTTAGTGTGGATACAGCAGTGAATAAGAGTTTACACACTGGTAGAAATGGTTCATGATGAAGAAGCAATAATAAGTATAACATGTGGGTTACAAGAGGATGCACAGGGTGCCATGGGGATGTACACAAAGGAATGTTAACCACATCAAGTGGTCAGGACAGACTTCTATGATGACATCAGTTGATTAGGCAAAGGGCAAGGAGAGGGCAAAGGGAAGGTTCTCAGGTGAGGAAAGATCACATGGTGGAGCAAAGGAACGACGGGAGGGCTGTTGTGGCTAGAATGACAGGAAGAGGAGGGGAGAGCGCCGTTAGAAGAGTCTGAAAGGAAGGCCTTTATTCTGTATGCAGTGGGTAGTCATTAAAAGACTGGAAGCAGGAGAACAACAGGATCAACTGGAGCTCTGCTTTAGGAAGATTTATCTGGCAGCAGTACAGAAAGAACTAGACAGGAAAAGACTAAAAGCAAAGAGATCAGTTTCTAATTTATTGTAGCCTCTGGCAAATGGGTAAGAGGTAATGAAGGTCTGAGTTAATAGAATGGCATTAGGAAAAGAGAAGAGTAGATAAGGCAAGACATATTAAAACAGTAAAAACTCATTGAACTTGGCAATTCATAAATAATTAAAACTTGAATATATAGAGAAAATGATGCCAGCAACAGAAAAGGGGGATCATAAAAATAGAAACAACCTTGATAGGGAAGATTATGAGTTCAGTATTGGCTAAGATAACTCTGAAGTACCAGCAGGACGTCCAGGAGATTAAGGAAAAGAGTACATTCCGAGGAAGGCACTTACATAACAGATGGCTGCCAGCTCCTGCCGGGTATACGCCTTTTCTACCAGACCTTGGGCCTTGGTTGGGCTGACACCATGGTCATAAACTGTAAACTTAGTCCCCATGAGGTTGGATCTAGAGTCAAGAGAAAAAGTCACCATAATGACCTACATTTTTTCTCTTATACAAACACAGTCTAGGAGAGGTATGTAACAGAATAGAAGCCTGGTTGCCTATTCTCCAAATGTCTAAATGTTCATCATCACTTTTGCAAAGATCTCTCATTAAAACAAGGAAGCGAGGGGCCAGCCCTGTGGCGTAGGGGTTAAGTTCAGCACGCTCAGCTTCGGCAGCCTGGGTTCAGTTCCCGGGCACAGACCAATACCACTTGTCGGTGGCCATGCTGTGGCAGTGACCCACATACAAAATAGAGGAAGATTTGCAACAGATGTTAGCTCAGGGCAAATCTTCCTCAAGTAAAAAGAGGAAGATTGGCAATGGATGTTATATCAGAGCGAATCTTCCTCAGCAAAATAAATAAATAAATAAAATAAAAGAAGGAAGGGACTTAGATTTACTTTTATCTTTTTTTTTACTACAACATCAATACATGCTCATTGTAAAAAAGACATGGATTGCTCTGAAACTGCACGAATAAAAGCGTCAGAAAGAATAGGACAGTGATACAAGGCTGCTCCCACCTGAGTTTGCCAATATAACTTTCTCCTTCACGAGATAAATCTGTTGGATCAGTGGAGATAAGGTAATTGGATGTTTTGCTCTTTTTCCGTTTTCTACCTGCAAGAAGAAATATCTGGAAAAAGAAAAAAATGTCAGTCAAAAATGAGGTCAAGAGAATCACCATGGTTTGTTGTACCTATTCACTTAGCAAATGTTGAGCAAGTGCCTATCATGTACAAACAAGCAGTCAATCTTTGAGTCTTTTTAAAAAAAATTCACTTTAATTTTTCTTGTATGAAAACTATGTGGTGGCCACAGCTGGAGCCTGGGTCTTCTGCACGGAGACTCTAGTGTGGGCCTTTACAAGATGGTCAGTGAATTCATGATGGGGGACTTGGTGAACACAGTCTCTTTCCAGAGGTCGGGGGTGAGACAGCTGTAGATCTTGGAAATGGCCTCAAAGGTGGACTTGGCGAAGTTGCCTAAGGTAGCAGTGCAGCCCCGGGCTGAGGTGTCACAGTGGTCAATGTCGGCCAGCAGCAGCAGCTTCTGGGGCACACGGCTGAGACGACACCAATGCCCCTGGGGGGCGGGTATGAGGCGCAGCAGCACAGAGCCACATCAGCCAGTCACCTTGCAAGGGACGTTGTGGAGCTTGAAGATCTTATTCTCCCAGCAGCCTCCCTGCACTGGGACTACAGAGAGCTTAACCAGAATGATGGCCCCACATATGGCAGTGGCTACCTCCTTGAAGGATTTAATACCATACTGACATGTCCCTTGTAATCCCCAATGGCGACCAAATGCCTTGAACCTGTTCTGCTGGCCAGTACAGGTCTTGCTTTTGCACGGGCATAATCTTCAAAATTTCGTCCTTGAGGGATGACCCCAGGAAAAAAAGTCAACAATCTCAGATTCCTTGATCGAAGCAGAGGAGACAGATCTCCTCTAGGGACTTGCTCTTCATGTTATTGACCAGGTGACCCAGCTTGGCGAGGGGCATCCACTCCTTGTCCTTGGCCTTGCCTCCACAAGCTCCACAGCCTAGACCCCTTCCTGAGAATCCGCTGACAAAGCCTCAGCAGAGGTCGACAGGCCCCACATTCCAGGGATCCCAGGGCCTCCGCCCTCGTCCTCGACCCTCCCCGCCATGGCACCAATGTCATCCACTATTTTATTCTCTGAGAAGACCAATTTTGGGGTCTTTATCCCTTTTCCTTTCTTTCTTTCTTTTTTTTTGGTGATGAGATTGGCCCTGAGCTAACATCCGTTGCCAATCTTCCTTTTTTTGCTTAAGCTTGTCCCTGAGCTAACATCTGCTGCCAATCTTCCTCTTTTTGCTTGAGGAAGATGTGCCCTGAGCTAACACCTGTGCTAATCTTCCTCTATTTTGTACGTGGACGCCGCCACAGCATGGTTTGATGAGCAGTGTGTAGGTCTGTGCCCAGGATCTAAACCCGCGAACCCCAGGCCACCGAAGCAGAGTGTGTGAACTTAACTGCTACGCCACCAGGCAGGCCCCTTTATCCCTTTTTCTAAGCCTCGTAATGCTTCTCAGAATTCACTATCAGAGTTTCCCTACTGTACAACTTTTCTAAATTCACTAGCTTGATTCTCCATATAATTATTTACAACTTTATCCCTAAAACCTCCAGTGACTTTTTTAAAAAGTTTCATCCAATTCCATGAATGAGAGTCTTTCCAATTTTAGGAGAGACAGGATCCTGAATACCCATCCTTCCCATTCTTGACTGCAGCTGCTTTCCTTTTTTTTTTTTTTTTTTTTTTTTAAAATTTTTTATTTATTCATGTTTTTCCCCCCAAAGCCCCAGTAGATAGTTGTATGTCGTAGGTTCACATCCTTCTAGTTGCTGTACGTGGGACTCGGCCTCGCGTTGGACGGAGAAGTGGTGCCTTGGGGCGCGCCCGGGATCCGAACCCGGGCCGCCAGCATCAGAGCGCACGCACTTAACCGCTAAGCCACGGAGCCGGCCCATGCAGCTGCTTTCCTAATACTCCTTTTTGTATTTTGTTGTTTTAAACCCCTGTGACTTCCATGATATGAATACTGTCACATTTACATGTCCTTCCTACACCCTACTAGACCTGGACAATAGGGAAGCAGAAGAATGGCAGTAGCTAGGAGGGGACTTTGGAATCAAACAGACATGGGTTTGAATCTGGCTCTGCATTTATTAGTGTGTTTTGAGGCAAGTATGTCATTCCCTAAGCCCCAGTTACCTCATCTATAAAGCAGGGATGAGAAATCCTATCTTACAAGGTTGTTATAAGGACTATTGGTGATAATACACATAAAGCACTTAGCACACACCTGGTACATTGTAAACACTCAATAAATAATGGTTATAGTAATGATATCTACTATCATCATCTCATTTCTAGGCTCTTAAAAACATCCATCCACTTAGACCAGGTATTAATACAAAATATGCTTTTCATTAGCAAGTATTAAACTGCCTCAGATTTATGTATAAATAAATTAGAATTTCTAGGGTGAGAAACACAAGTTATTTCACTTGCATGTTCTTCTCTATTTCCCATTCCTCCTATTCTCTAAACCTTGTCTCTTTCTTCCACAATGTCATGTTCTACCATAATAAAAATAAAAACCAAAGAGCACACTCCCTACACCCCAAAAAAAGGTTTGCAGCTTAAAGTAATTACATTCAAATATTCTCTTCCATTTTCTTACATTCTGTATACAACTCTTCTTCTTTGGGGTGAGGATACATTTTGCCTATTAGACTATGAACTCTTTAAAGACAGCGAGAACACAGCCCCTGGGAATTGATAAATACACTCTACTTCCAGCTGACCTGGTCTAATACCAGGGCTATTCCCCTCTCAGAAGACCCATCAACAATCTGTTCCCACAACATTCCTCCCTCTATCTCAAGATCTGTCTTAAGAATCAATTCTCATACCTTCCGGTTTTCATCCTTTTCCAAGTGCATATAGTAAGTGGGGAAGAGACCCCGATCCATTCCTTTTTTATCCCTGGTTATCCGACACTTGACTGTGATACCTCGAGGGGCAGGACTAAATGCAAAGTCCTCTAAATTCTCCACTTCTCCCAGCTGGTTATCAATTTGTTGGGCTGCAATACCAGAAGCTCCTGTATCCTGAAAGAATAGCCATACATGAGCAATAGGTGGTTGGATAAGAAAACCTCATATTCTCTTCAAGAAACACTTAATGGACAAAACAACATTGATTTATCCCTACGTCTTCAGTCTTCTGACAAAATAAGGGGAAAGTCTGAGAAGTTAAATAAGTATATGAATATTGGGAGTATGAAGGAGCTAGGTACGAAAATGGGAAGAGAAGCTAAGTACAACAGCTGGCTTGAGACACACAAAATTAGAGAACTCATGAACTTTAAGTCTAAATTCGAGCTTAAATCTTTGAACCCTGATTCAGCAGTGGTATTTAAATGCTGAAGATATGTTTGGGAAATAGTTAAATTAGCTCCAAAGGAAGAAGTTGCAGAACTACATACTGTGCTTGATTTCTGGCTTGATGCAGAATTGGGTCTTTCTGCCTCTGAATATGGTGAATGAGATCTTAATTTTTTTCCTTCTTCTTCCTCCCCATCAGTCTCCTCTTCATCAAAGTTCAAACTACCTGAGATACCTAGCAGAAAAGGAAGAACTGTCAACAACAGCCAACACTGGTTTAAAAAAGAAATCTTTGAAACAAAGATAATTTTAATTTTCTTGCTTAAAACATTACAAGCTATTCTGACTTATGTGGCTATTTTATCCAAATTTTGACAATTCTTTCTTCATATTCTCACTCAAATCCATCCCATGTTTTCCCTTCCCATTGTTGCCACCCTAATCTTAGCTCTTTAAAACATTATGTCTTCGGGAAAAACATTTGCAAATTGTATTATGATAAATGATTAATATCCAGAACATATAAAGAACTCCAACAACTCAACAACAACAAAACAAACAACAAAATTCAAAAATGGGTAAAGGACTTGAATAGACATTTCTCCAAAGAAAATATATAAATGGCCAATAAGCACACGAAAAGATGCTCAACATCACTAGTCATTAGGGAAATGCAAATCAAAATCACAATGAGATACCACTTCACAAGCACTGGGATGCCTATTATCAAAAAAACAGAAAATAAGTGTTGGCGAGGATGTGGAGAAATTGGAACCCCTGTGTACTGCTGGTGGCAATGTAAAATTGTACAACCATGGTGGAAAACAGTATAGTGGTTCCTAAAATAATTAAACATAGAATTAACATATGATCCAATAATTCCACTTCTGGGTATATTCCCCAAAAGAATGGAAAGCAGAAACTCAAACAGATACTTGTACACCAATGTTCACAGCAGCATTATTCACAATATCCAAAAGATGAAAAAACCCAAATACCCATCAAGTGATGAGAAGATAAACAAATTGTGGTATACACATACAATGGAATATTACTCAGCCTTAAAAAGGAAGGAAACATGCCACAACCTGGATGAATCTTGAAGACATTATGCTAAGTGAAATAAGCCAGACACAAAAGGACAAATACTGCATGATTCCACTTATATGAGGTACCTGGAACAGTCAAATTCATAGACAGAAAGTAGCACAGTAGTTACCAGGGGCCGGTGGGAGAGGAGAATGGGAGTTATTGTTGAATGGGTACAGAGTTTTATTTTGGGAAGATGAAAAAGTTCTGGAAATGGATGGTGGTGATGGTTGCACAACCACGTGAATGTACTTAATGCCACTGTACTGTCCACTTAAAAATGGTCAGGAGTCAGCCCAGTGGTGTAGTGGTTAAGTTCACATACTCTGCTTCAGCAGCCCGGGGTTTGTGGGTAGGGATCCTGGGCATGGTCCCAGACACTGCTCATCAAACCGTGCTGTGGCAGTGTCCCACATACAAAAATAGAGGAAGACTGGCACATTGTTAGATCAGGGATAATCTTCCTCAAGCAAAAAGAGGAAGATAGGCAACAGATATTAGCTCAGGGTCAATCTTCTTCACCAAAAAAACCCAAAAAGGTTAAAATGGTAAATTTTATGTAATGTATATTTTACCACAATAAAAGAAATTCAATGATCCATTGCTCTCTATATCAGTTACTTTTTTGTTTTCCTGTATTTTGTTCATCTCTAGTCTAGTTAAGTATTTTGAGTTGGGAATGTTTGAAATACTACTACCTTGGATTTATGAAGCACCTTTTACATAACATTAAAAACTATTTTTTCGTGTTATCCTCCCATTTATATGAGTTTGAGGAGGAGATATTGGTAATCTTATTTTTTGTTTTGTTTCTTGTGTGTTTATGGAACATATGTGGAGAGGAATACGGACATAAAATAAAGCATGATGTGTGTTATTAAAGTATGGTACTCAAATTTACACATGAAAGCATGAGGCTCAGGGAGAATTTTTTGTCAGAGAAGCAAGACAAAAAAAAAAACAACGTAAATTCCCTTTTCTCGTTACTCTACAAGGTGAAGTTATCCCTCATATAATAGTTGAAATAGTCCCCAAATCATGGATTTAAAAGTAGACTTAACAACAAGCAATGTGGCTTTCATTTCCTGCCCACGGTCAACCATCTCAGAGGAGGGACAACTATGATCTATTTTTACACAGTTCCAAAATAAACTGGTATTAGCTTTTCTCAAGGACACCCAAGAATAAGACAAAGGCTGGTTAAGAAATAAATCTTGATCAGTGATGTTAGCATCATGGCAGAGTGAGCTTTCCCCCTTAGACTCTCCCACCCAAGATACAACAAAAAGGACGTTCAAATACCAACAGAAGACATTCACACAACACAAAAGACGTCTGAGAGACCCACGCAGCCTTACATCTGAAGGTGGAGGTGCTGGAACCCCTGGAGGAAGTGGAAGGAGGTAAGCAGAACTCCTCTCCTTCCTCAATGACAGCGACCCTGGGACCAGGACCATGCGGCTCTCTGAAGGGGGGGAGGGGTGGCCCTCCGCGGGAAAACCGTCGCTTTCCAAGTTCTCTCACAGCCTGTGGGAAATTCCCATACAGAGGGCACTGAACTGTTGCAGGAGTGTCTTCATCAAGCTAGCACCCAAGGAGAGCAGATAGTGAGGGAAGAGTGAGAAGCCCCCGGGGATCAGGCAGGCGAAAGAAAGAGCCCCTCCCCCTGCCCAGAGCACCAGCACAGCTGGTCGGCCAGAGCGCCCACAGATTGCAGCAGGCTCAGAATACACAATTCTCAACTTGCACCCAGTGGCGGCAGGTGGAAGCTGCAACCAGATATTTTCAGGATGAGGAAAAATAAGCCCACGCCTGCAAGCAGTATGCAAAATATATTAAATCTCCAACCAGAAGGAAAATGACAAGCATCCAGAAATCAATCCGGAAGGCAGAGAAATTTATAACCTACATGACAGAGAATTCAAAATCGCTATCATAAAAAAGCTCAACAAACCACAAGAAAATACAGATAGACAATTCAATGAAATCGGCAACTTCTTCACAAAAGAGATTCAAACTATAAAGAAAAACCAATCAGAAATGTTGGAGATGAAAAACAATATGGAAGAGATAAAAAAAATCTGGAATCTTTAAAGAACAGAGCTGACAATATGCAAGAAAGAATTAGCAATATTGAGGATAGGAATGCAGAAATGTTCCAGATGGAGGAGGAGAGAGAACTAAGACTAAAAAGAAATGAAGAAATTCTCCGAGAAATATCGGACGCAATTAGGAAATGCAACATAAGGATTATAGGTATTCCAGAGGGAGAAGAGAGGGGAAAAAGGAGCAGAGAGCTTGTTCAAAGAAGTAATAGCTGAGAAATTCCCACACCTGGGAAAGGAGCTGGCAATACAAGTGAATGAAATCAATAGATCTCCTAAATATATCAACATGAAAAGACCCTCTCTGAGGCATATGGTAGTAAAGCTGGCAAAAGTCAATGAAAAAGAAAAAATATTAAGGGCAGCAAGACAAAAAAAATATATAACATACAAAGGAATTCCTATCAGGCTTTCAGCTGATTTCCCGGCAGAAAACTTTACAGGCTAGGAGAGAGTGGAATGATATATTGAAAATTCTGAAAGACAAAAACTTTCAGCCAAGAATATTCTATCCAGTGAAAATATCCTTCAGATATGATGGAGAAATAATAACTATCCCAGATAAACAAAAGCTAAGGGAGTTCATTGCCACAAGACCCCCACTACAAGAAATGCTCAAAAAAGCCCTCACGCCTGAAAAAGAAAAAGAGAAAGGGGATACAAAGCTTTGAGCAAGGAGAAAAATAGGTAGACAAAATCAGAAAAATTGCAGCTCTCTATCAGAATAGGTTAGCAAATACTTAATTACAACATCAAAGATTAAGGGAAGGAAAACACCAAAAATAAATATAACCTCATCATTTAACCAGAAACTCACAACACAAGATGGAATAGGTTGTGACAATAATAACTTAGAAGGGGAAGAAGTTGGAATCGACTTAGTCCATTTTCTGATGGCCTCTTATTTCCTTAGACTATCTCAGGGGCTGGCCTGGTGGCGTAGCAGTTAAGTTCATGCACTCCACTTTGGCGGCCTGGGGCTCACAGGTTCGGATCCTGGGCACGGACCTACACACTGCTCATCAAGCCATGCTGTGGCAGCATCCCACATACAAAATAGAAGATTGGCACGAAGATTGGCTCCATCCAAACACAGCAGATTACACATTCTTCTCAAGTGTGCATGGAACATCCTCAAAGATAGACCCCATGCTGGGAAACAAAGCAAGCCCCTATAAATTTAAGCAGATTAAAATCATAACAAGAATCTTTTCTGACCATAATGCTATGAAACTAGAAATCAACTACCAGAAAAAAACTGGGAAAGTGACAAAGATGTGGAGAATAAACAACATGCTACTGAACAACCAATGGATTATTGAAGAAATTAAAGGAGAAATAAAAAAATATCTGAAGAGAAATGAAAATGAAAATACTCCATACCATCTCATATGGGATGCAGCAAAAGCGGTCCTGAGATGGAAACTCATACCAATACAGGCCACCTTAACAAACAAGAAAAATCCCAAATAAGCAATCTTAAACTACACCTGATTAGAAACTAATTAGAAAAAGAACAAACACAGCCCAAAGTCAGGAGAAGGAGGGAAATAATAAAAATTAGAGCACAAATAAATGAAATTGAAACCAAAAAAACACAAGAAAGGATCAATGAAACTAAGAGCTGGTTCTTTAAGAAGATAAACAAAATTGACAAATCTTTAGCCAGACTCACTAAGAAAAAGAGAGAAGGCTCAAATAAATAAAATTAAAAATGAAAGAGGAGAAATCACAATGGATACCACAGAAATACAAAGGATTATAAGAGAATACTATGAAAAACTATATGCCAACAAATTGGACAATCTAGAAGAAATGGACAAGTTCTTAGACTCATACAACCTCCCAAAACTGAATCAAGAAGAAATGGAGACTCTGAATAGACCAATCACAAGTAAAGAGATTGAAACAGTAATCAAAAACCTCCCAAAAAATAAAAGTCCAGGACCACATGGCTTCTCTGGAGAACTTGACCAAACATTCAAAGAAGATTTAATACCTATCCTTCTCAAACTATTCCAAAAAATAGAGGAAGATGGAA